CTTATCCACTTCCCCTTGCTCCCTAACTTCCAAACTCAACATTTGAAAGTCCCGATACAGGTCCTCCAGAAGTATCCATGTCGCTCTGCATGGATGACCCATTTTCTGCTGAAAGCATCGGCCACAATGTTGTCCATCCCTTCATGGTACTGAATTTTCAAGTCATAGTCCTTGATTAAGTTGAGCCTTCTTTGCAGCTTCAATTTGTTTGGCCCTCTCATAAGAGCACATAACATCCCCCTCTGATTCATTCAGGGCTCTTATGGCCTCATCTATAGTAGCATTGAGAGCATCAAAATAAGCCTGGCGCTCCTTCATCTCGGTCTCCAACGCCTGGGTCCTCTGCTAAGCCTTATCCAGGCCCTACCGGTCTGGTTCAGGGCCCAGTCCACCATGGTGCCATGCTCGTGTTCCTTATGTTCAAGCTCAGTTATCCGTAACTGAGTAGCATATATCAAGAGACTGCCTAGCCTGGTGCCTATCATGGCGTATACCCATCTCCTCTTCTGAGCCCTTCGGGCCTGAAGCTCAGCTTCATTAGCTCTTATAGCCAATTCATGGCCCAGGAAAGCAGTCTACAATAAACAAGGCACAAAATAAGTTGACACCGCAATAAGAAACTTGTGGGATGTTTCTAAACACGGCCCTCATTTTACTAAGTACAGCCCCAAATTAGTTTAAATGTCTAATTTTCCCTTTGGATTATAACTTGGGAAAACTCTTCAAATAACAATATGCTCGTAACAGTATATATAGGCAGGCGCTGCACATAGCACTCCAGGAAGATATTCTACTGTAGTGAGCACTCCAGGCAGCCCTTCAAATCTATTTCTAAGGACTGATCAAATCTACGAATTTCTTGTGAAACGGAAGACTCCATTCTTGATCAAATCTACAAATCCTAATTAAAGGAATTGCTTTCCAATTCAGCCAAGCAATAGGAGACTTGGGAGACGATGAGCTAAGAGAACAAGGACAGCCGCCCGCGGCTGAGACCCACCGAACCAGAGTTGTTGTTAATACGTTAAATCCTACATTAGCTTGATCCTACCGCGCTGAAGAGGGTCATATTGCTGGGACCGAAACGTTGTCCTCAGAGTCAAACACCCAAGGTAGCGTAATCTACGGCCATCAACCGTCGCCATAGATGATTCCGCCGATGACATTTTTGTTATGTCGGACACATGCCTGATGCCTGGCGTCACACCTTCGCACAACAGTTGGCGAAAAAATGGACTTCTTGGAGTTGAAGATCGGGATGTCACCAGAAAAAATTGTGATCTAATAAGGGTATAATAGGTTTTAGAAAATAATTTTACTTAAAACGGAAAATAAGGGTTGTGTTTAGCAAACATGCGGCTGTATTTAGAATTAGCCAAACTTGTGATGAGGTAGAACCCATTGGGGTTATCGGGCAGGAGAGCAACCCAACCCAATTGAGGTAATCAATGAAAAAAAGGGTGCAGTAGGAAACAAAAGACTATGATAAAAATCCACCTTGTTTGGTAACTTTTTCAAAACCTATTATGTATTTGATACTTACTAATTCATTAATTGGAACCATAGACTGCATTTTATATGGTGTACTTTTTATTAGCACGTAGTAATTTTTGAGTTTTTTTCCGTATTAATGTTAATTAATTAAGTATTTACGAAAATAGGGTTGAGTTAAAAGTATTTACGGATATACTGCTGGGCTTAACTCTGGTCGGGGTAAGTCGCCCAACCGTTTGGCGACTTATAAGTCGCCCAACCGTTTGGCGACTTTTATCCATAAAATTTAATAAGCTAACCTCGCGAACCCACCAGTCCAGTATCGAGAAAGAAAGTTTAAAAAAAAAAGGAAAGAAAAGAGGGGCAAAATTGTCTTTTGAGACCTGCTGAATTTTACGACTATCGTGTCCGCAGGTCGCCTGCGCAGGGGGGGTGCGAATTTTCGGTTCTGAACTAGAAGCCGGAATTCTTGTGTGCGCGAGAGCTCCCCTATTCTCTCTCACCTTTTAATATTAAGTGATGAATGGTTCATATTTATAGGCTTCAAACTTCCCAAGGAGTTTAGGTGTGGGAAAGTTAAAGAAGCTCACTTTCCACCTTTGCTTGAAAGTGTACACATTTCCATCTATCTTTTTCAAGAGCTAGTTTTGAGCCACTTCAAACTTCAAGGTTCAAAACTCCAACACCAAAAGTCAACACTACAATCAAAGCTTCCATGAGTCACCCCGGTATATATATATATATATATATATATATATATATATATATATATGTACGTTATGGTTAACCTGATATTTTTTCCGGATATTATCCGAACCGAAGTGGATATCCGACCCGAAAAACCCGAAACCGAAAACTTGATCAGGGGACTAAATGTGGGAAACTTTTAAGTTGATGACTAAAAGTATCTTTCGCACAATAGTCGAGGACTAAAAATGAAAAAATTAAAAGTCGAGTACCAAAAGTGTAACTGACACAAAAATGGAAACAACTCTAACTTACTAGCTTGATGCACCCGCTCATAAGAAAAACATACAAAATGCTCCTGAGAAAATTTGACAAAATTTTTGTGTTATTCACAACGTAAATTGGAAGTTGGAAGTTTTTTTATTTTTTGCAAAATGACAGAAGAGTCATATTTTAATCAAGTTATGTATAATATGTATTTAAATCCATTCACATTTTAATCAAGTTATGTATAATCTATATTTAAATCCATTCATGTTTAATTATTTGTGCAATTTTTGTAAAATTATTTGTGTAATTTGGAAGTTTAGTGCACTAGTGTGTACAATTTTTGTCAAAGTGGCATTTAAACACTTTAATTATCCAATTATAATTTTTTTTAAATATAACCGAAATATCCGAAACCCGACCCGATATCCGATAATATCCGACTTAAAAATATCCGAAATACCCGATTTGAAATATCAAAGGGTCGGGCCTAGTATTTAAATTAAAAAACCGGAACGGGTTTAGGGTTCGCAAACCCGACCCGCCCGAACCTGACCCGTGCACAGCCCTAATGGTGGGGACACGCCATATAAAAATAACATCAACATTAATGGATTTAAAAGTTGTGGTTGCGTAATGACAGGAACGTGCTAAATATATAGAGTAATATACATGGTAATGAATTGTAGAGTTACTAATAAGCCCTTTCTAATTGATTACATACGGACTCATTTTTAAATGGCAATAATAGAGTGTCACTAATGACGGAAAGGCGGTAAAGTACAGAGACGGAAAAACGAAGGCGGTTCTTTTTTAAATTTAAATCTAACGTAGCAGATAGGTTTGGTTCGTTTTTGTTTCGACGGACGTACCGGACATGAAGTTTGATTGTAGTGTTGACCTTTGGTGTTGGAGTTTTGAAGCTTGAAGTTTGAAGTGCCTCAAAACTAGCTCTTGAAAAAGATAGATGGAAAAGTGTACACTTTCAAGCAAAGGTGGAAAGTTGGCTTCTTTAACTTTCCCACACCTAAACTCCTTGGAAAGTTTGAAGCCTATAAATATGAACCACTCATCACTTAATATTAAAAGGTGAAGGAGAATAGGGGGCTCTCGCGCACACAAGAATTGCGGCTTCTAGTTCAGAATCGAAAATTCGCACCCCCCCTGCGCGGGCGACCTGCGGACGACGATAGTCGTAAAATTTAGCAGGTCTCAAAAGACAATTTTGCCCCTCTTTTCTTTCCTTTTTTTTAAACTTTCTTTCTCGATACTGGACTGGACTGGTGGGTTCTCGAGGTTAGCTTAACTTAGCTTATTAAATTTTATGGGTAAGTCGCCAAACCGTTGGGCGACTTATAAGTCGCCAAACGGTTGGGCGACTTATAAGTCGCCAAACTGTTGGGCGACTTACCCCGACCAGAGTTAAGCCCAGCAGTATATCCGTAAATACTTTTAACTCAACCCTATTTTCGTAAATACTTAATTCATTAGCATTAATACGAAAAAAAAACCGTAAATTTTGTGTGATTAATTTTATACTTTTTATTTTTTATTACATTCTATTGAAAAATGAAGTATCTTTGTTTTGCCCACTTAACTGATAAATCAGTTCCTTAAAAACAGATAAATCGGCCGAATTGCTATTTATTTCGACTTCTAATCAAGTAGCTTACCTTTATTTAATAAGGATAAAAATTGATATCATACAATATACATGCATGTGTGTGTGTGTTCACAAATATATACGTTTAGCCTAGCAAAAAAGTAAATATGTTTGGTTGTTTCATTTCTTTATTGTTACAACTACAATTTTAATATGCTATAATTTTTGAAATAGATTCCTAATTTTAGTTATACTCTTAGGATGTTTTTAATTAGATTGATTTCATTTACAAACTAGTTCAAATCAGATCAAACTTTAATAATAATAGGACACATAAAATGTAAAACAGACATCTACTGGATCATATTACTTAAGACCAAATCAAACCCAAAAATTTTAATTCAATTAAAAACGTCCTTATTAATGACATTTTCAATGTGACGAAATAACGAGTAAAATGTAAAAATGCTATTTTTTACATTCTCAATATGACGAAATAATGACTAAAATGTAAGATCTCGCTATTAAAACTTAAAAGTATGTACGAGTACTTCATACCAAGTTGAATAAGAAATATTAGAAAACTATTATTTTGAAATGCTCAATAAAGTAATCTAGACATTCATAAAATAACAATAAAAAATCGTTTTCAATGTAACAAAAGAATGAGTAAAATGTAAAAAAACTCCATTTTTTACATTTTTAATGTGATCAAATAATGAGTAAAATGTAAGATCTTACTATTAAAAGTTAAAAGTATGTACTCCATATTTCATACTAAGGATGTTTTTATTTGGACTATAATTTGCCGGTCTGGTCTGGTCTGATCTGAGACAAATTACAATCAAAGTAAAAACTTGATAAATTGAATGAGAAATTTGAATTTCACCAATTTTAAAACGAACTATACATTTAAATTGAGTTTATTTTGTTTTTACCAAACATTTATGTACCGCCGTACATCTCAAGCGCTTGAAACCTAGTGGGAAATTATCCGTAATCTTTGGCTGAAGCCCTTGCGAGCGGCGGTGGACGCATAGCCATGACCGAACGTGAGAGAGACAGAGAGCGAGAGCGGGATAGGAAAAGAGTCCGCGAGGAGCGCTACCGTGACCGGAAAGAGCGTTCTCCGTCCCCTTCGCGTTCCTATACACCTGAACGTGTCCGTTCCAGTAGAGCCCATTCCCGAACTCGCTCCCCGTCTACCGACCGCCATCGTTTCCGCCGTCGTTCTACTTCCCACTCGCGCTCTCCCGAACGTCACCACCGCAGCAGCAGGAATCACCACCACCATGGACACCGCACTCTTAATCCCGAAAGTCCTCCCAGAAAACGCCACAAAGATGATGGTGAAAGGGATAGAGATGGGAATCGGGTCAGGCAAATGGATGTTTCGGATTTTGTTGATGGGATAGCCAAGGAGCACAAGCAGAAGCAGGAGGGTGATGCAGAGACGATTGATGAAGATGAAATTGAGATGATGAAGAAATTAGGGATTCCTGTAGGGTTCGATTCCACTAAGGGAAAATCTGTTGCTGGGAACGATGTGGGCGCTGTGAGGAAAGTGACCAAAAGGCAGCCTAGACAGTACATGAATCGGCGTGGTGGATTCAATCGACCCTTGCCTGCTGAACTCAATCGCTGATCCCAGGTTAGATGATTGTTCTGCTACTTGAGTAGCATATCAACCGTGCGATGCAAGATATGAAATATTTTTCAAAATAATTATTACTCGTAATAATTTAAAAAAATGTAATATAGCCATAAACGGATACAATACTGTCAACCATGGTAAAAATGAGATAATGCCATTCTAGAAATCAATAAGTGATAATTGTTAAATATTGTAATGTACAATGATAGCGCAATGCAAAATATGTGCAAAACGTATAAAAAACAGTGTACAATTAGAGGATCGATTTTTAAAGAAAGTTAAGGGTATGCTTACTCTTTTTGCTATCAAGTCTTATATGGATTAAGGTGTCTGCCTATATTAAAATGTCTCTTTGGATTAACATAAATTTATTCCATAATTGATTTTAGAAATTAACAGAAAATCTTAATACACGTTTTAGTGGGAAGGAGTATTAAATTTCAGTTTAATGTTTAATAGTTCAGTTTTATGATTGAATGATTAAGTCCTGCTTTCAATTAAGTTGTAAATAACATGACTTAATGGTTGAACGATTACGTCACTGTTATAAGTCATTAAATCGAAAGTAACCAACCTCAAAAACTTGGTACTATAACTCTATAAGTAACAATCTTCTCTTTGTCTCGTATAGGCTATTATAGCCCATTCTATTTGTCTTGATCGCCTAGCAAACTATCTAATCTATAGCTGAAAATCAAAATATAAAATTAAAAATGTAAAAATATATATTTAAATTGTGAAAAAATTAAAATGAATATAGAAGAAACATATAACTCAAAAGAACAACAAGAAATTATAGATCTGCCATTTTAAACTTTTTATTTTACTTTTCTACTATCGTATATGTTTTCAATTTTTATCATTTTATATTTGCTTAAATGACATGTGATATGAAGTAAGTAGGCTTTACCATTTTTTATGAACTTATATTTGAAATAGCATACATATCAATTTTAAACCTTTTTCTTCAAGTTTTGAATTCGGGTTTTTCTAATGTTGCAAATATGCTCAAACATTCAGTTTAGAAGCTATTAATCCAATTTCATCCCCGGCCAAGAATAAACACTTATAAATTTAAAACAAAATCCAAATATTATTAAAATAGACTATATGAATAAAAAGTTTAACCAAAATTATCAATATAATCACTATGTAAAGTAGGGCTGGCATTTCAAACCAAAAAACCGAAAACCGAACCTTTTTGAAAAAAAAAAAACCGAACTGAACCGAACAAAATTGGGACCCAAAAGTTGGGACCCGAAATAAATCGGTGTAGACCAAACCGAACCGACAATTTTATATTAATAATAATTGCTATTATTAATAATAAAAAACAATAATTAAAGACTTTAGTAAAGGTATAATAAAACATCGAGCATTAATCGAACACACTAGACGCGTTGCGTAGATGGTCTCTCAGCGGAATTCCTAGCCTTGGCGTCAGGGGATCGAATCCCGTAGCTGTATGTTATTTTGCTTTTCTGATTGTGATTTTTTTCCTATGCTCCTTTGTCCCACACCGGATAATGTGTGGTTTCCTACTCCTTAAAACTTCTATATAACCTACATCTCCACACAAATCATGAAGCAGCTGGGGCTATATGAGCTCATATGCCAACGAGGCCCTTATCTGGTATATGGGCTCAAATTTGGGCAATTTCCATTGGCCACAGTCAAATATTAGTATTAGTTCAAATTTATTTATTCCTATTGAGTTGGTTTATTAGGTTCTGAAAAACTGAACCGAAAAAATCGGGTACCAAAAATTGGGACCCGTTTTAAAATTGGTTCGGTTTCGGTTATGATAATCTGGAAAACCGATAATCGGTTCGGTTTGTGGATTTGTGGGATCGGTTTGGGACCCAAACCGAAACCAGCCCTAATGTAAAGCTCGTTTTTTTATCCAATACTTCAATATCAATGATTTATTCCTCATTTCTAAAATATACAAAGTATTTTAGATAACAAAAATATCAAGCATATCTATTTCATGCTGTTACTCAAGTCCATGTAGGAGATATGTGAAGCCAGCAGCCCCTTGGAATTTAAATAATAGAAACAAAACAAAAAGGGTCTTTCTATGATACCTCTATTACACGTGTACTGGTGCATTCTTATACAAAACAAAAAGGGTCTTTAAACTAAAATACTCTTGCAATTGAGTCCTTTTGCAAAGGCTCTGATTTTTGACGGTGTATCAGCGGCCATTCTACAATTCAAAGTAGATTTGTGCAATGGCCAAGGTTATCCAATTGAAGTTCCTCATGTAAACCTCTTCTTTAGCGGCCTGCGCAAAAAATATTTTCCCACTTCACGCGCACAGGCGGCTCTCCGGCGGCTTAACAGTTCTCAGAAAACACTGGCAGCTCCTCGGCGAAATTTAGTCTGATAACCACCTCTCTCTCCTTCCCTATTTTTCTGCCATTTTTGTGCTCTGAGATTGTGTGGGTTGTTCTACAAAACCAAGTGAACCTGGGTATTTATACTAAATTGGGCTAGTGGTGTGTATTGTTACCTGTAATTCAGTATCCATTAGATAAAAAAGTAAGTTAAGAACCAACAGACCTCCATGGTGTTGATCAACGAAGACTGTGTTAGTTGCAATACATTAAATGCATTTGTCCTTTAAAGATATATCGAACACCACAACAATTCAATTGATATACTGGAAAAGGTTTGATGAGATGGGCAGTTGCAATCCATTAAATGTATTGTACTTTGAAAATAATACTAAATTCCTTTTTTAAGCATGGAGATAAAAGACAGCTGATAGGAATCTTATCAGCCGGTTTTTACACATTTTTATATGCAACACCCAAATCTGCCAAAAGATATAAACATTAAATGCAATACTCGATTAAGCTGTCTGCCCGATTTTGACCCAGCTCGACCCGTTTTTATCAAGTGGTTTGGGCGGGAAATTTGCCTGGAGTTCCACAGCTCTTTGTATATAGAAAATTACTTGCTTTCTTTTATATTCCAAAACTAAATGTTGGTTTTGAACGAGAATTGGAGCTATGGTGGAGTGGAATTATAAATGTTTACATTTTCTTTCATTAAGTATTGCATGAAGTGGAAGCCTTATTATCTCTCTGAAAGACATCAAATGTTTTTCAGAATTGGAGCTAATAGAAGTTATAGAACACACCGGTTAATTACCTACTAAAAAGACGTTTTGCCTCTTTTTTTATAGTTCGTGGGTGTAATCGGATGTTTTTTGAGTTCGGGTGCTTAATTGACATTTCCATATTAGTAGGGGGCCTATTTGACACTTTTCCCTAAGAACTTTAATTTTTGAAAATTTAGTTCAATATCTCTTATACTAGCGGGGCTGATTTGATCAGAGTAGAACACTATATCAGTACCAATGCCAATGCCAATACGAGTGTTTGGAAAGGAAGATGACATTGTGTGCCATATACTGTTGTCATTCAAAGGGTTTGAGATAGTAGAGGCTGTAACCTGTGTACTTACATTGTGTTAGAGCTACCAGGTATTGTTTTTTCTATATAAAAGATAGTCATATCAATCACATAGCTGTATAGTAATGTGACTGATACAGGTGTAACTCTTCTACTGGTTCTTATTGTCTATAAAAACATTTGGGCACTATTGTACTTCATAACCTCAAACCATTCTCTAATTGATCTGAAAAGGTTGGATCCTATCTCTTTTACTTACTCCATTTTATCTTTTCTTGCTGTAACTGATCTCTTTTTTGTTGGTCTTTTTTGCTTTTCTTTTCTATTCTTTTTCTGATGTTTTCAACTTTTCCTCATTTTTTGACTCTGGGGAGGATCATTATTTGTTTACCTTATGTAGAGTATGAACTCTTAAGGTTTGCTAAATATGGTTGATGTTGTTTTATGTGATTTTTGGAGATTTTAATCGCAAACCAACTTACCAAGTGGATTTGGTTCCCCCCATCAATTAGACATCTAAATTCTTATAGCTCTCATATTGACGTGAAAATTGAAATGTTTGGCTGGCTTTAAAAAGATAGGGAAAATGGAAATTAATAATCCAACCTTTTAGCGATCTTCTTACAATAGTCCCACCTTATCGTTATTCATGAATAATCCAATCTTTGCACCCTTCATTCCCTGGTCCTTGACCGGTTGATGACCTGCTATTCAAGATTTTTTCATTTTCTTTGCAAATCATTCAACCATAAATCCCACCTTTCACAAATCTTCTCAAAGCGGTCCCACGTTTCATTTTTCTTTTCTCTTCCTAAAACTTTTCCCTTTTTATTTTTATCGTCTTGACTCTTTTATTCCCCTTTTTGGTCTTCTTATTCTTATTTTTACTACTTTTCAATTTTTTTCAATGTTTATGTATTTCATTTTTCCTTCTTTCTCTTCTTCTCGTTTATTATTTCATTGTCATTTTTATATATTTTTTCGGATTAGTTTCCTTATAAAAGATCTTTTTCTCACTGTACTAACTTTTTACTTTATTTTCTTTTTGTTTACACTTTTTCTTCTTCTTCCTTTTCTTACCTTTATTCTACGACTAATATTTTGTTCAGAAAATAGCCCCAAAATAGGACTAAACTAATTCCAAATGCACAAATAGGATTATGTTATTTATCTTCCCAAATAGGACTAAAGTACCATATATCTTCTTATTCTACATTTCTACCCTTACCATAACTTAATAGGATAATCATATTTTACATTATAATAAAAAAGAAAAATAACAAAAGGTTTTTCAATTTATAAAAAAATTAAAGTGACAAAATTATAAAAGTTAAAAAAATTATTTTATGTGTTTTATCCGGTTTTATTTACTTTTAAAGTTTTCTTTAAATTATTTGTATCACTTTTTTTATTTTTTATTTTTTAGCTTTCTTTTTATTTTGTTACTATATTTTAATACATTGATTTTGTTATTTTTCTTTTTTATTATAATGTAAAATACGATTATACCATTAAGTTATGGCAAGTGTATCACGAAAGGTATAAAAGGAGATGAAGAGAGAGAAGCTCTTCCAT